AACCAAAAATGCTTGTTCTAACCAAAAAAAATTTTTTTTAATAATATGTAATATTATTTATCTGAGGTCTTTTAACTGTAGGAATAATTCTCCTTGGGTTATACATAAAGCCTAACTCCTTTTTTCAAAACAGCAAGAAATGTGGACCATCCTGGCATATCCAGGGAGACAGCTTTGTGTGGTATTTCCATCTTATAGGAGCCCCTACTCTCACCTGGCTGGTCTCACCCAGCTTCTCCAGACCCAGGGCCAGACCAGACTACCTCGAGCTCTCCCCCGACAGGCACAGGCTCTGACACAGATGAAGTTTGAAGGGCAGGGCAGGGGCAGGAATTGGAGGGGAGCCTCTGGAGTGAGAAAGACCACAGCCTGGCTTCTCCTTTGTTCTATCTTCTGACAGATGCCCCTGGGAGCCCTGGGCAGAAGGAAAAGAGGAAGAGCTGGGGCTGGGGCTGGAGCAGGGGGAGCCTGGGGACCAGCAGGCTTTCTTAGAAAATTCCTCCTGAGAAAATGCCAGCAGAGAAATGCCGGCAGATCACTCTATTTTATACATGCTAAGATGCAGAGCCTCTCCGACTTTTTAAAGTCTCTGAAGTCATAATACCTTTTGCAATCAGTGCCATCTAAGAACTGTATTGGAGTTTGATGGCATTTCTTCTTTCCGAGTGGTACATAAGACAACTTACTTTTAATTCTGTCTTAAAACCTAGGAAATACGACAGTCTCCAGTGAGGAGCAAGTGGGCTGGAAGAGCTTGTCCTTCCAGGCCAGCTGCTACCTCATCCCGAGGGTCTTTCAGATTCATCCAGCAACCACAGTCCAGGAATACACTTTACCTTTTCTTTCTTTCACTCCTTCGCAAGGACTTGACTGCTGCATCTCAGAATTTTCTACTCGTCTAGCGCCCACTTTCCAAGCATAAGCAGCCAGGTGTCACAGGAGGAGCCCAGCAGTTCCTCTAACCTCGATGGGCTGCATTTGGACAGCGCCTGTCACTTCATCTCTTGGGGGTCTTAGGTTTGTTGTCTGATTGCTTGTTTCTTTGGATTATTTTGCTTGGTTTGTTTTCTCAAAGGTTTGATTTTTCCATAAAGGTTTACCTGTGCCGGCCACATATGCATCACCTTATTCAATCCTCACAACAAAAACTGCTGTCCCTATTTTGCAGATGGGAAAACCGAGGCTTAGGAAAGCCATAAAATCTGGCCAAGACCCCTGAGTTAGGAGAGCTACAGTTGGTATTTAACCCAGGTGTTCTGGTCTCCAGCCTCTATGTTATAGCAGTGTCTCTCATGCCAATAAACCCCATCTGTGGGGGTGGATGTCCAGATTTGCTGATGTCCAGATTCCAGGTCAGTCTGAGAGCCAGCTGGGCAGCCCCTGTGGTTAAGAGATGTCAGCCCCGATTAGGAAGGTTGCTGAGGACACAGGAGAATCTGGAGCTCACTCAGCACTGGTTAATAGGGTCTGCAGGTAATTAGGCATATTCCATACTTTCCCATTTTTTTCTACAATGTGATTATGTTACCTTTGTATCAGCAAAACGCTATAAGCACAATTAAGAATAAATGTTCAATTTGAAAATTAAATGCATGAGGCCTTTCCAGCCTTTGGCAAGACTTACTCTGTGGAGTAACCAGCACCAAAGGGGAGTAAGTGTTACCCCCGACCACCACCCCCACCCCCCATCTCACCCATCAGTACTCGCATTTGCCATCAAAATTGCACCCATAATGTAAGTCTCAGTTGAAGTTCTTCTCTCTCCAGGAAGCCTTCCATGAACACCCTGGCTGTGCCCACGCACACATGCTCCCTGGGGCCTAAGCATCACTGTATCCCCAGTAGATCTGCATGTTGCCCTCCTCCTCTGTCTGCTTCCTGGGGACCAACATGTAACACCCATGATACTCTTGGGTTGCATCTCCCCTTTGTCACTTGTTGATCTGATGGGTTACACTAGCAGTTACATTTCAAGTGTGGAGGGGTTTTCTTCCCAGTTGGAGTCACCCTGTGATTCAGTTCTGCAAACATCTGTTAAACACTTACTGTCTGCCAGTCATAGCATTAAGAGTCAAAAGGGAAAAACAAGATAGTATGCTTTTTTGTTTATCCCACGAGTAAGATGAGGCATGAGCAAGACATGGTGTAACCCTGGAGATGCTTACACACACAAACAAATGAACCGAACAGACACACACACGAATGGAGAATGTTCCAGAACAGAACCATGAGGCAATGCCTTGGGAGCCCCCAGGAAGGAGGGAGAGGGTCCAGCCAGGAGAACTTGGGACAGATTCCAAGACAGAAGGATTCTGGGAGGGGCTTGTTTTGAAAGACATGTAGGACTGGCCAGTAGGCACAAGGGAAAAGAAGTTTTCCAGGTACTTTTCTGATTTGTAGAGTGAGGATGAGAACTACAAGCCTTAGAGGTTATTTTGAGGGTGAATGAGATAGCACATCTAAAAAAGAAAAAAACTTGGCAAACGATCACATCCTTTGCAGGCAAATGAAGCTGTCATCATATGTAGGTTCAGAATTGTGCTGCAGAAATGAAAGTCTGGATGGGCATGGAGAATGGGTGGGATGGGAGGGACAGGGGGCTGAGAGTCCCCAGCAGATGCCGCCGGCTCTACGGAGAGAGGAACCAAAGAGGTGGGAGCAGGGCAGAGAGGGGCAGTCAGGATCGTGGGGGAAGGGAGTGTGTCTCTGACTTCTCAGGCCCCTGACAGCGCTGGGCACAGTGCTTTCTGCCCGGCAAGCTCGATAGATGCTGATGGAGTAAATGAACGGCGGATGCAGCCCCTGCTGCCTGATCAATATAGATGTGCAGGTCTCCTGCTGTGTGCTTCACATGGGAAGAGGAGCCAGTGGGCTTTGCAGAGGGCAGCCTCCACGTGGCCCAGGGCTTCGCTCCCTTGGAACAGGAAGACTTGTTGCAAGGATGGCATTCCATGTCACTCCACATGGAATTAGGCATTTTGCTTTCCCCTAAGAGGCTCTGGAGTGGTGGTGCTGGGTTGGACATCATCTATACTCCTCTGCTGAGAGCTGGCAGAGCAGGTGTGTTAGCGAGGCGAAGCTGGGCAGGCCCTTCTTCAGGGCTCCCCTCTAACCTGTCGAGGCTGGTGTGCCCTCCTCCCTGATTTGGATATGGTACCATGTTCAGATCGATTGGAATAAACTGCTGGATTTCAAATCCATTCGGGTAGCAAAACACCTGGAAGTTGTGGAGTTCTGTATGGAACGCCTTGAAGTACTGTTCATTTAGTTACATTGTGTGAAATAGGAACACTTTTGTTAGCAGGAGAGCCAACTGTATTATGTGTGCATTATGTTTCAATCACAACCAAAACACAGGCTGTCAAGCTCATCCATGCCTGCTGCCTCTGAGCCCCTCCGCTTTCTTTTTTCAGTAAGAAACATCTCCAAGCCTCTCAGAGCCCAGTGCAGAAATCTGGAGTTATCCTCGTCTCCTTCTCTCCCAGCTTGCGTACCCCCACTCCCACCCCGCCTACCCCCACTCCCACCCCACATCTATTCAGTGACCAAATTCCATGAAATCGACAGGTTAGCTACTGACTCTGAACATGTCTCTCCATGTTTATTCCCATGCCATCATTCAGAGGACCACCATCTCTCACCTGAATTACAGTCACAACCTCACTTCCTGCTAACATCCCAGCTGACTGCACAGTCAGCAACCTTTCCTAAACACTAATCCAATGGAGTCATTCCTTTGTACCTGAACTTTCAGGGACTCCAAGCTTATAAGATCTGGCCCCACGAAGAGCCCTCTGGCTTAATTTTCCCCAGCTTCTCCATTATGCTCTACAGTTTTAGCCAAATAGAATTAATTTCTATCTGGGACCGTGTCATGTTCCCTCTGGCTGGGGCGTATCCCCTGGACTCAGATGCCCGGCTCACTCCTCTGTCTACTTCATCTCCGATGACACCTCCCTCAGGAATTCTTTGCCCTCTGAGATGAGATGCCCATTTCTCAGGGCTCTTAGTGCACAAAGGCAGAACCTCACCAGCTCTTCCTGGGGTCCCTGCAGCCTCCCAGCTGGTGACCTGCCTCTCCACTTAATAGCACCCTTCTATTCTCTGCACGGCAGTCAGACTCTTCTTTCTGAAAGGCAAACCTCATCATGTGGCTCCTGCTGCCCTTGAGGTCAAGTCTGAACTCCTGGAGTGATTTATAAAACCTTCTAGGATCAACCATTGCAGCCTCCAGTTCAGCTCATTCCAAGCTCTCTGCGCTCCAGCTGCCCCAGATCCCCCACTACCCCTCTCACATGGCACACACTCTCCAGCTCCATCATTTGCTTACCTGCTTCCTGTGTCTGGACCCTTCCCCTGGCTCCCAACTGTTTACCTGACAACATTCTGCAGGTGTCTGTTGAACATCACTTCCTCAGGAAAGCCTTCTTTGAAACCCTAATCTAGGTTGTGTCTCTCTCTTCATTCCATTTTCTAATGCCTACCACTCAGACATTTAATTGCTTGGTTAATTGGCTATTGTTTCTTTTAGAATGTGAGCTGGAGAACTATGTATATTTTGTTCCTGCCTGCTTCTGGCATTATATAGAACAATGTTCAATAAGCAATTACAGAATCAAGACGGAATGAATTCATATTTCTGTTCTTACCACTGGAAGCTAGAACTTCTCGCGAATTTGTGTGGGGCATGGGATGTGCTTAATTGTTTGTTGAATAAGTGGGTGAATAAATGATCAGCTCTTTTCAAGCTCATTGATTTTATTATACTTTAAAAAATGGTACTTTCTCATTTGTCTTACCATCAGCAAGAACCTGCTAGCAGAAGAGTGGCAGCAGGCTGCAATGTTTCAAGAAAATTTGGGGATGCAATCTTAAAACCTGAGGCTGGAGAATTCTCTTTTAACCTCCCGTGGTGGGTGTTAGCCCTGAGCCTCCAATGGGTAACTGCATGCTTTGGGAGGTCCTCCTGCTCACTCCTTGTGTCCGTTTCTCCTGGCCAGAGCCTGGCTACCCAGTGGCCCCGCCGCCCCCATGGATCCGCTGAACTTGTCCTGGTATGATGATGATCCAGAGAGCCGGAACTGGAGCCGACCCTTCAACGGGTCCGAAGGGAAGGCCGACAGGCCCCACTACAACTACTATGCCATGCTGCTCACCCTGCTCATCTTCATCATCGTCTTTGGCAACGTGCTGGTGTGCATGGCTGTGTCCCGTGAGAAGGCGCTGCAGACCACCACCAACTACCTGATCGTCAGCCTCGCTGTGGCTGACCTCCTGGTGGCCACGCTGGTCATGCCCTGGGTGGTCTACCTGGAGGTAGGTCTGGGCCCCTGAAGATCTCTGGCACCTCACCCAGAGACGCTCCTCACTGGTTCCCATCCAAGGAGGAGTCCAGGCTCCTCACTGGTTCCCATCAAGAGTGTGCCTTCTCAGGTAGGCCCTCTCTCCACTCTGGGCTCAGTCTCGCAAAAATGAGTGGATCGTCTCCTTAACAGTCCTGGCTACGGGCTATAAGGTGCTTACTAAGTAAATGCCAGGGGCTTTGCAGGTGGTGCTAGTGGTAAAGAACCTGCCTGCTGGTGCAGAAGATGTAAGTGATGTGGGTTTGATCCCTGAGTCTGGAAGATCCCCTGGAGGAGGAAATGGCACCCCACACCGGTATTCTTGCCTGGAGAATCCCATGCATAGAGGAGCCTGGTGGGCTGCAGTCCATAGGGTTGCACAGAGTCAGACATAACCGAATCAATTGAGCACGTGTGCACGCAATAACTGTCAGGCCTCACGTTAGTCCTTCAAAGACAGCATCTCCCCACCGAGTCTTCACAGCATCTTCTAGGTGGTGAGCTGGATGGTCAGAGAACTTAGGTGACTTCTCCAGCCTCACACAGAGACTGGAACCAGGGCCCCAGAGTCGGTTCATTGGGTCACGTGGAGAATGGGAGTCATTGACGAGGATCCCCGAGGACGGCAGAGGCTCATGCTCCAAGGCCTGATGTCTTCATCCCTCTCCCCCTGACTTCAGAATGGGGGCTGCGGCTCCACACTCTCCTCTCTGCCTCCCCACCCCACCGTGTGTCCGGGATCTCGAGGTTGAGGTGGCTGTGAACTGTGCTCCAGCTCCTTTCTTCAGGAGGCACCACATGGTGACCCACTGCTCTGCTGGGGACAGAGCCCACCCAGCCCGAAGCCCCCACTGGGGGCCAGGAGCTACCAGGCTCTTTACAGACCCACTCTCAGCAAATGCTCCTGCTGCTCCTGAGTTGATACCATTCTTCACACTTTAAGGAAGGGGAAACAGAAGCTGTGAGAAGTTGCCTGTCTGTATCCAGATCACACAGCAAAGGGAGATCATACTCTGGGATTCCCAAAGTGGGGCCCCGCTTCCAGGAGGACACTGTCCAGAGCTGACAGGTGGGAGGGTCTAGGGCAGTGGCGTGGGCACAGGCTGGTCCTACTCGAGAAGTTGCCTGTCTGTTTCCAGATCACACAGCAAAGGGTGAAACCTCTGGGATTCCCAAAGTGGGGCCCTGCCTCCAGGAGGACACTGTCTAGAGTTGACAGGTAGATGTGGGAGGGACTAGGGGACTGGGGTGGGCACAGGCTGGGTGCCCTTTTCTCTTCCCAGGGTTCTGGGATTGTGTCTGGCTGCATGGGAAGCTGGGCAGGTATTCAGATGCCAAGGTCACTAAGATCTCTGTGTCGTGAACTTCTTGCCCTGGATGCGAGGGGAAATTACCTTTGCTGTAGAGTCAAGGCCCTGCCTGGGAGGGAAAGGCTTGCACCTTTCAAAGAAAACAAGAAACGGTTGCTGGTTGAGCAGAGGAGACATCCAGGAGAAACAGCAGAGGTGGGGAGGGGAGGTTGGTCCCTCTGTCTCCATGTCCCCAGGGCCTCCTGTTGTCATGACCACAGGGAGCTCTGGGCCATCACTCCCATGGTTTCCTCTGGCATAACCTGGATAGGTTGTAACCTTCAAAGTGACCTGAATGTTAAGAGAGAACCAGAAAGAAACAAACAGAAACAACACAACCTAAAAACGCACAGGTACCACGGACCCGGCATCCGGTTCCTCCATGGTGGCACGTTTATGGGGACCCTGAGCCTGGGTCCGTCCCATGTCCTGTCTGAGGGCCTTGCCCTCTGGAATGCCTTTCTGACTCTTAGGACCATTCCCCTCCTGCTCCCTTGTAAAGTGGGTTCCCAGGCCACAGACCAGTAGGAAAAAAATGATGGGTAGCTGGCCAAGCAAGCAACTTCTCTGTGCCTGGTCTTCTCATCTACAGAATGGAGATAATCACAGTACTTATGTCGTAAGCGTTGTTTGAGAATCACATGGATTAATATACGAAGAGTACTTAGAATGGCAGCAGGCACATAGTAAGCAGCATGTGAAAGTAGCCATGATGACGGTGATGAAGATGAAGGTGACAATAAATCGTCCTCCAAACTGAAGGACCCTCCCTGTGGCCAGGCAAAGAGATGCCCTCTCCCAGAAGAAGGCATGCTCTACCCAGGGCTCCGGGCGTGGGTTCTGGGGCTTTCAGACCCACCATCCCTACCCAGACCCTCTAAGGCAAGACCCAATGTGTGCATTAGGGCCCCTAGGAATCTTTAAGTCCTTCACACAGATATTTTAAATATTATCTGTTCACATTATTTTAAAGATGAAGCTCAGTGTTTCAGGGGAGAGAGGAGAGTGGTGGTTCAGACAGCAGTGCTGAAACTCTTCCATCAGAACAAGAGCTGGACAGTGGGCCTTGCTTACATGGCATCATCTCAGCTACTTATTGTCCCTAGACAGTGTCCCAAGTGGAGTCTCACCCCATCCCAACATCCTGTTAAAGCATCCTCTCAGCCTATACTGTGTTCTCTCCAGAAGGTGCTCTAGTTGTCCAGAATTTTCCATCTGGTTCCATTTCCAGGGATGTTAAATCCTATGATAACATCAGCTGGCACCCTGCTAGGTGGGACTGGATGTGCATCCTTTATTCTGCTCAGAATAAGGAAAGCACCCTGGCTTTGAAGTGAGAGGACCAGGCTCGGGTCTTGACCCTACCACTTTGCATCTGGAGAAGCTGAGAGAAGAAAGCCAGGGCTCAGTTGCCAGTTGTGCTGTTTCAACCTCACAGCCCTTTGAAGGGAGGTTTGCTGGGTGCATTTTCCAGAAGAGCGGATGTAACAGACTCAGATCACAGTTACTGACTTAGTCAACAGCCACGAGCATCTTCCGGGCTGGGGTCTGAGGCCCTGGCAAGGCCATTAGAGTGGAATGTGATGGAAATGACAAAGCCTGTTCTGCAGATCCCAGCCTCATGTGAGAAAGGATGTTGATGAATGTTGTCAAAGGTTCTGAGGAAACAGCCCTCGAGTGGGACTAGCAAACTTGAGGGCCAGTCCTCCCTCTACTACAAAATCACCAGGAGAGCCTGGACAAATCTTTTTCCTCCCTGACCTCGAGTTAGTCTACCTGTGCAGTTATAATCGCTCCTTTCCCACTTTATGCTTCTCTAGTGCTTGTGTCAGCTGTGTCTAGACTAGATATGCTTATCTAGCCAGCTGTGTCCAACTGTGGGACCACATGGACTGTAGCCCACCAGGCTTCTCTATCCATGGAATTTTCCAGGCAAGAATACTGTAGGAGTGGGTTGCCATTTCCTCCTCCAGGGGATCTTCCTGCTCCAGGAATCAAACCTGTGTCACTTGCTTCTCCTGCATTGGTAGGCAGATTTTTTACCACTAGCGCCACCTAGAAAGCCCTGTTTATCTAAGGACTTTTTCCATAATTTTCTCCTCTTTTGACAAACCAGATGGTCCCTTCCAAGGCAGCTCGGGAGACAGCATAGGATGTGCTGCCCCAAAAACTTGCTTCAAATCCCGGCCCTGCTGCACACGATCTGGGTGTACTCCAGAGCTTCACCCCTCATCCAGGAGTGGGATAAGCAGCACCCTCTTGTATGAGCTTTAATTTACAATAAATGAGGTAAAGTGCTCGTGGGAGATGTTCTATAAACAGTGGCTACTTGACACACTTTCTGGAGTCTTTCCCCAACCTGCGTTCTAGAGCAGCTATTCCTGGGACCTTGCAGGAAACCCCCCTCCCACTTCTTCTGTGCTCCGGGAAACCCTTTAGGGACAGGGGTTGAGAGCTCCCTAAAGACTTTGTCAGGATTGTTCACTGCTGTGCCCCAGAGTCTAGGACAGAGCTGGACAGGTAATAAGATGCTCAGTAAGTGTCTATTAGAAGTAAGGAAGGCAGGGAAGAGGGAAGGAAGTGAGGAGGATGGAGGAGACGACCCTGATATCTCAGACTTAGGTTGCCAGGGGGGTGAGAGCAGTTTGGAAATACTGGTTCTACCCTAGGAGGACATCAAGGTGGGGTACAGAGCAGGTGTACCTGGGACTCTCCCAGGGGTGCCTTAAAGGTAGACTCTGTTGATGCCAGGGAAGCCCCTACTATCCCATGCCCCCCACCCTGGCCTCGTGCCTGCCTGGCCAGCACTTAGATACCCTTGCCACACGTGAGCCCCAGAGAGGGCAGTGCTACACAAGAGGCTTCCTGTCTTCCAGAGAAAGCTATAGATTCCTCCATGCACTGCCCATCTCTGTCCTTAATGCCAGTGATTGGTTTTACACCTGCAAGCAGCTAAGAGGGCAGTGCTGAGAATGAGCTTTGTAACTAGCCCTGCTGTGCCCACAGAGTGGCCACTGCTCTGCTCACATCGCCAGGACAGGCTTTCCTGCTCCTCCTTCTCCAATAGGTAGTGGCCCAAGTCGGACCTCCCTGTTTTGACTCTGTCCCCAGGGATGGGGCTGCTCCAAGCTTCCACAGCTGCTAGGGTAGCCTGCTAAGTGAGTGTGTGTGTCTGTATGGGTAAAGGGGAGTTATGGGGTGGGGGTGTGCATGCGGGGTGTGAGTGTGTGTGTCAGACGAAAGAAGGGTGCAAAATGCTTGTGTCACAAGCTGGACTTCTGGTTCTGCACTGAACCAGGGATGATTTATTACACGTCTTCCCCAGCGCGTTCTGTTCTTCCGAAAGCTTCCCCCTCTTTCATTCTCCAAGTGCAGCGAGAAGCAGAAATGTCTTCACTGTTTCATAATCACATCCCCACTGTTGTTCTTCACAGACACTGAGTCTCAACTCTGTGTCATACCCCATGCTGGGCACTGAAGGAGCAGCCCAGCCCCCCACCCCCAGACACCTGGGCCAGGGCCAGGCCAGAAACTGAGCTGGAAGGCCTCGGACGAGTCCCCACCCTTTTCTGGGGCAGTTTCCCCATTGGTAACATGAGAGTCGTAAGGTTTTCACACAGAGGTTTTACAGATGAAGGTTCAAAGCTGAAGCACTTGTGTAATTTCATCTGCTTTCTTCTACCAAACTTCTTGGCATAGAATGCGTGGCCTTACCTGTCTAGGAGGAGGGGTGACCCAGGCAAGGACCTCGGACACCCACAAGCACAACTCCCCATGGCAGAAAGCTGCCCCTTTTCTCCCCAGGCTGGAGACCCATCACTGAGACCCATCAGACCTCAGCTGAGCCCATCACCCCAGGAGACCCAGCTCTGGTGCATGAGCCAGTATCCTCTGCCGTTCACCCTTTATGTTGGTTTGTCTCCAGGTGGTGGGCGAGTGGAAATTCAGCAGGATTCACTGTGACATCTTTGTCACCCTGGACGTCATGATGTGCACAGCCAGCATCCTGAACCTGTGTGCCATCAGCATTGACAGGTGAGCCCAGCCAGGGCGGGAGAGGTGACCCAGACCATTCACCGTGTGGGCTGCCCTGCTTCTCCTGCAGGGTTAGGCTCTATCCACGATGCTGAACGGCTGGCTGTGTGCCCGAGTCCATGTGTCTGTATGCATGTGTGTCTGGCTGGCAGAGGACAGACCTCATAAAGGGAGGTGTGTGTGGACAACGATGCTACCAAGAATCCCTGGGCAGAGATCAGCATAGAAGACAAAGCGCTCGACCTGACTGCAGGAGACCCTATCACTTCTTACTTATGTGACCTTGGGCAGATTGTGGATGTTCTTAGAACCCGAGTTTCATTGTCTAGAAACCAAGATGATGACACCTGCCCATGTGACTCTACCATCAGTTGAGCGTTTTGTGTCCTGCACAGGGCACCTGGCCAAGGGGACTCAGGCTCTGCTCATTTTGCTAAGTTCTACATTTGGAGTCTTTTACTAATTTGCACACACAAGTCATATGGGCTTCCAGAAGCCCTGGCTCTCTGCCCTTCACAGGATTCTTGGAAGATGAATGGAGCTGATGTCAGAGAAGTGCTGAGCAGAACCATGTGTGGCATCATAAACAATTATCGTTGTTATTGTTTTCTGCTGAATGAGACCTAATCCTTGCTTTATGGGGCCCAAGTACCAATCCATCAATAAACACTTCTACCCTCCATGGGCCCAGCACAGGTGCAGCAGGTGCAGTTTCAAAGGTTCAAAGACCCAGGCCATGGCCCCTCAAGAAACCTAAAATCCAAGCAGGGAGACTGAAGTGGTAGTCACAGTCTAGGATTGAATGGTAGCCTGTCAGTCATTAAGCACTTGATGAGTGTCACCAACTTCCTTGCTAAGTCTGGGACAGGAGAGGGTTGATTTAGGGTAAACAGCAGGGAGACCAATTTTCCACTCCCCAAAGTGGGGTGTCTCTGTGGAGTGAGGAGTCCCTGGGCCTGCGCCCCAGACTCAGGGGCCACACTCTGTGCCCTTGCAGGTACACAGCCGTGGCCATGCCCATGCTCTACAACACACGTTACAGCTCCAAGCGCCGAGTCACGGTCATGATAGCCATCGTCTGGGTCCTGTCCTTCACCATCTCCTGCCCGATGCTCTTTGGACTCAACAACACAGGTGAGTCCTGCCTCTGTCCTCCTGGGGCTCAGCTGGCCCCCGAGGAAGCTGAACCCTGGTGTGGATATGGGTGGTGGCCCACCAGGAGCCTGTTCACCACCTTGGACTGAAGCCAGGCTGAGTCTCCTGGGTCAAGGTGACTCAGGTCTCCTGGATTGTTCCTGGTAAGGTCAGAGAGGAAAAATGGCTTGGAGCACAATGGTGTTGGGTGAGGAATGGGGATAATGTTTTGGGAGGATGCCTGGCGATTTTCAACTTTGTTTATTAAATTGGAGCCGACCAGACAGCCTGGCAGACTGCATGTCTGTGCCTGTCTGTATGTGTGTACCCAGGGTGGGAGGCTGCTGGGCCTCCATCACCCCTGATAATGAAGCTGCAGCCCCAAGGGCTGGCCAAATCCAGGCCAGGCCTGAGCCACCTGGAGCAGAAAAGGTAGAAGAAAGTAAGAGCCCATTGTGACCGGGTCCTGTGTGAAGCAGTCAGGAGCATCTCAGACAGAGAGGCACAGCCCCCATGAGGGAGGTGACATAATGCCAGCGTGCCTGTGGAGACCATTACTGAACAGGACACAAGGAAGACTCAAAAGCATGTGGTTCAAAATCTAAGTGTTGTGGGAATTTCAAGAAGCAGGAATGGGGCTAAACGTGCTTGCATTAATCTGGAAAGAGGCCCTGGGAGACAGCACAGTCATCTGCAGATCTGACAGGGAACTTGGAAAGACAGTGGAACAACAAGTTCAGCAAAGAGGACCAAGTTGTTTTGTTCCTAAAATTAAGAGGTATCAGATCTATGCCCCCCCCCGCTGCCACTCCATGGGAAAGCTACAGTAATAATCTACTTTTAAAAAATTATTTTCTCCTATTATTTTTTCCAAAAAAAAAAACCCCGTGGCTCCACTTGTGCACTCCTGAATGACAAAACGAATGAGGAAGCAATGAGGGGTTATTAATGGAAAGGCTTGGAAGCAGCTTTTTGTTCATGGTTGTTTCTAATACTCTGATTTTCGCATTTGTTTACATCTAACGCTTCCAGGCCACCTTAGGCATCTAGTCCTACTCTCTGTAACATTGCTCCTTGGCGGCAGGAAGGCACTGTAGCCCCAGGTTGGGGGCCTTCGCTGACGCACCCATCCCCGGGGCTTTCTTCCCCCTCCCCCAGACCAGAATGAGTGCATCATCGCCAACCCCGCCTTCGTGGTCTACTCCTCCATCGTTTCCTTCTACGTGCCCTTCATCGTCACCCTGCTGGTCTACATCAAGATCTACATCGTCCTCCGCAGGCGGCGCAAGCGCGTCAGCACCAAGCGCAGCAGCCGGGCTTTCCGCGCCAACCTGAAGGCCCCGCTCAAGGTCCCGAGACCCCCGGGGCGAGGCGGGTGCGGGGAGGGCTGGAGTCCAGGCTGAAGGGGCCACGAGGAGGGCAGATTTCACAGCTGGGGCCTCAGTGGGCAGCTTGAGTCTCCAGGACGGGGAGGTGGGGAGGGGGTGGAGACCACCGGGGAGGAAACCTTTGTCGGAGCGCAGCAGCTCTTGGCGCCTGGCTTGCTCCTCTCCTCTCCTTCCTCTTCCTTCGCTCAGTCTAGCCTTCCATCTCCCTTTCCGGCCCTCGGATGCCTTCATCCCATCTTCTTTTCTGTGCTCCGTCCTCTTATGCTCAAACCTCCCTCTGCTCACCTGCTCTCACCTGCTTCCCTCCTCTGCCCCCTTTGCATTTCCACCCTGTGTCTTGTGACTTCTTTCCCACCCCCCAACCCCCACTCAGCCCTGCCAGAGGAAGATGATATGTGGGCACAGAAGGAATAAGAGCTTGGGGCTTAGACACATCATGTTCAAATCCTGGCACTGCCGCTTTTTTGCTGAGTGACCTTGGGCAAGTTGCTTAACCTCTCTGAGCCTCAGTCTTCTCATCTGTTAAATGTGAATCAGAATACCATTCTCACAGGGCGGTCTTGAGGATTCAGCGTGAGAGGGACTGGGCATGCCCGGTAGGGTGCCAGAGCCTTAGCAGGTGCCACGTAAAAGTCAGAGTCCTGTTGTCCCTCCTCCTACCCACCTCGTCGCATCACACTACCGACCTTCAACCTTGCCTTAGTTGCCTCCTCAGGCCCCACCCTCCTAATCTCTGCCCTTCTCTGAGCTCCCATGCCCAGTCTGACTACCCTGCATTGGGTTTCTGTCCCCAGCCCCCTCCCCATCATGACCCATGTGCTGGCTCACTCCACAGGGCAACTGTACTCACCCTGAGGACATGAAACTCTGCACCGTTATCATGAAGTCTAATGGGAGTTTCCCAGTGAACAGGCGGAGAGTGGTAAGTGTTCAGGTCAGGGACCCAGAGCCCGGTCTGTCTGCCTCCCGGGAAACGACCTGCCATGATTCTCAGAGACCTCACCAGCTGGTCCGAGGGACAAGCCCCTCCCAGGACCCCCACGTTGCCTCAGCTGAGGCCAGGCTCACCACACACACTTGTAAGCAGGCATGGAGCAAGACAGCTCAATTAATTCTACAGGGCACAGAGAAGTACCCGTAGTGCAAGGAGGTGGATGGGAGAAAGCACTTGGCCATATAACAATAATATTAATGGCCATGCCCATTAATTGAACACCTACCATCTTCCTATTTTCTCATCAAATCCTCACAGTGACCCTGAGAGGTAAGTCTTATTGATCTTATGGATCTTCATTTTACAGAAGACGAAACAGAGGCTCAGAGAGGTTAGGTAACTCACCCAAGACTAAACAGTTAGCGAGAGAGTGAATAGCTGAGCCCAGACCTAAGTGACTCTCTGAAACCCATGCCCATGCTCTTTTTACTTGCACAAACCGCCTGACAGACAGGCAGGTCTGGGGGCCTGAGGCTGGGAGCTGGTGGAGGGAAGGAGGGAGCAGAGCACTCGGGGATCACAGTGCAGTGCAGCCTGTAATTAGAGCCCAGAAACCCAGAATCCCAGCAGTCCCAGGCTTTGCCCAGGGATAGTAGCACCGGGGTCCAAGCAGCAGATGTCCCTTCCCCCAGCATGAGCAGAGGATGGGGGCTAGGGAACATGTGGAGAACTGTACACCGAGTCCAGGTCAGGTGTCTTCAGCAAGCAGGGCCCCTGCTTGTCACCTGAACAGTTGATGTTCACCTGCAAGGGCAGGACTCCAAGGACCCATTTGAGAGCAAGGATCAGGGCACAGTGAGGCTGCATTTCAGAAGCTCAGGCTGAGCCCCCAAAGCCTGGAATAAGGGGGCATGGGGAAGGACCTGGGAGGCCATGAAGACCTGAGGTCAGGGCCCTCCAGATCAGCCCAGCAGGGAAGATGTGGGGATAGAGGGGTTCATCCTTCGGCACCTCCAGCAGTCTAGCAGGAGAAGTGGAGCTCACCTGTGAGTGCTGGTGCAAGTGCCTTGGGTCAGCCGGGGCGGGGAGAACAGGGTGCCCTCTCTGTAGTTAGAACATGAGCTCCTGGAGAGGCAGGCATCAAATGTCAGTCACTAACTTACTCTCAGCATCCAGCTTGGCTCCTGGCACCTGGCTGGCACTCAGCAAGTATTGCTCAGCACCTGGAAGAGAAGTGCCTGGGCCTGAAGCCCCCACAGTGTAGTAGTGGGGTCATTGAAGCTGCTTGAGGATTGCTCCAGGGAGGGGCTGGGGGTGACCTGGCAGGTGGGGGCTGGGCTGACATGGGCCCTGGGTCCTGTACCCACCCAGCCCTGGCCTCCCAGTGACCATCCCCCTTGCCTCTCTGGCAGAGGGACCCTGGGGTGCTTGCAGGAGTCTTCAGAGGGAGATACGGGAGTCTGGGTGAGGCCAGGTGAGGTCAGGCGAGGCTGGGGTGGCCGAAGGCTGAGAGCTTGCCTGGCTCCACCCAGTGCTCTCTGCCTCTGTGCAGGAGGCCGCCCGCCGAGCCCAGGAGCTAGAGATGGAGATGCTCTCCAGCACCAGCCCGCCCGAGAGGACCCGGTACAGCCCCATCCCCCCCAGCCACCACCAGCTGACCCTCCCCGACCCATCCCACCACGGCCTCCACAGCACACCCGACAGCCCCGCCAAACCACAGAAGAACGGGCATGCCAAAGACCACCCCAAGATTGCCAAGATCTTTGAGATCCAGTCCATGCCCAATGGCAAAACCCGGACCTCTCTCAAGACCATGAGCCGCAGGAAGCTCTCCCAGCAGAAGGAGAAGAAGGCCACCCAGATGCTCGCCATTGTTCTCGGTGAGTTGGTCCTGGCCTCTGGCCACACCCTGGCCTGCCCAACCCTGGCTGGGTGACGGACCCAGCAGTGTAGGCCCCCTTACCTGCCATCACTCCCTAACCAAGGCTGGCAGGTCACAGGACTGGCACTTTTCAGGCACAGGTCAAACCCAACTGCATACCTCACTAGGTAGATGCTATAATTATGCTCATTTTAAAGATGGGGAAATTGAGCTTCAGAGAGCTTGTGTAACTTGATCAAAGAGGATGCATGATTTAAACTCAGGCAGCATTCTTGCCTGGAGAATCCCATGGACAGAAGAGCCTGGCAGGCTACAGTCCATAGGGTTGCACAGAGTCGGGACACCAGTGAAGCAACTTAGCACACATACAAGCACATGCCGATTCTAGAATCTGAACTTGACCAGTGTACCATTGTGGCTCTGAGAACCTAGTGACCCTGAGCAAGTCACTTCTCTCAATCTCCTTGTCAGCAGAGTAGACTGCCTCTCAGGGTTGTTGTGGTCATCAAGTGATGCATGGTGGTGAAAGCATTTTACAACCGCAAGTCAGTACCGTTCACTGTTGTTAATGCTGCAATTGTTGAGGAATCAGGAAGTTTACTTGCCTCAACCAAGACCCAGTGGAACCAACGCTGTGAACAATTAAAGGAGCAGTGAGGGACCCGGCTCCCCCTGGTGAGCGAGACAAGGCTTTTGGGCGTGAGCTTTGTTGCCTGGGCGGGGCTGCAGCAAGCGATCCGGGTCCAGGTCCCCCACCCCCTCCCCCACCCGGTGCACCCTCGGGCCCCGCCGCTCCCGCCCCGCGCCGGGCCCCCTGACAGCTGCCCTCTCGCCCAGGCGTGTTCATCATCTGCTGGCTGCCCTTCTTCATCACCCACATCCTGAACATACACTGTGACTGCAACATCCCGCCCGTGCTCTACAGCGCCTTCACGTGGCTGGGCTACGTCAACAGCGCCGTGAACCCCATCATCTACACCACCTTCAACATCGAGTTCCGCAAGGCCTTCCTGAAGATCCTACACTGCTGACCCTGCTGCCTACCTGCACAGCAGCCCGCCTCTCCCCTTCCCTGCCCCGCGGCCCCGCCTGGGGCCCCGGGAGCCGCGGGCAAGGGGGGCAGGGCAGCCTCGGCCCTGTCCTCGCCCGCGGGCCCTGCAGTGTTAGCTCGGCTCCCGCCCCGCAACGCCCGTGCACCTTGGAGCGGCGGGGGGCAGCGCTAGAGAGCGAGCGAGGCGCCACGGGCGGACCCCGGGCTCAGGGGCAGCTCACGGGGCCCCCCGCCCACTCCCTGACCCTCTCTCCTTGGCACCAAAGACGCAGCTGCCTTCTCCGACCTTTCTCTGGGGCTCTGGGGTTGCGGGGCCAGTGTCGAGGCTCGGAGGCCTGGTTTTCACAGGCCGAGCCGGAGCGGGCGGTGGGGAGGGGTGAACAGTCACAGCCCCCCAGGGCCCACACCTGAGAAGCCAGAACTCTGGCCACGGCCCCAGGCAGTGTCAGGCCTGGGAGACCCGCGTACACCCCAGGTCTGGACGGACCCCAGAGAAGCCGAAGCCCAAACTCCTCACCCCTTCTCCCATCTGGCCTGGCAGAAGCCGCTCAGTTATCCGCAGCAGTGGTCCTGATCCCAGCCCCGCCCACCAGGAGGTTTCCACGCCCCTGAGAGGGAGGAGCCCCGGTCTCCAAGGGCCTGGGGTGGGGATGGTCTGTGTGGACAGGACCACCGTACCCCAAGCCCGCTTGGCTGACGGAGACGGGTACAGCCCTTCTCTTAGCAAATGCTGGGCCAGCGGGGGCTCCGGCAGAGAAGGGGGACTCCGGCAGAGAAGGCGGGCTTGTCACATGTCTGTGGCTGGGGTTGGAGGTGTCTGGGGTCCTTGTGGGGGGCCTGCCACCCTCTGCCACAAGCCACTGTCCTTTTCTCTTCCTCTCGCCTCTTCGCAGTCCCATCCCCTTTATCTGTTGCCTCTGCCTTAGAGGGGCCCACGGCTGAGCGGCTGCTGAAGGGAGAGGGGCAGCCTCTCCTCTTGGGGGGGCCCCCCAGGCCCCACACTCTGTAACATCACCACACATGCTCCACACTAATAAAACTTTGACAAGAGTCCCCTCCAGGCTCCCTCGGGCGGGGGGTGCAGTGTCCCCTCCATCCTCTGCATCGGGTGTGGCCAGGGCTCTGTGTGTGCAGGGATGCGAGCTGGAGAGACCCTGGGGGGGGGGGGGGGCCCTGACACCATCAGAGGGACAGGACTGGGTGCTGGAGGGGTGGCAGAGGAGCACAGGGGCTCTGCTGGGAGGACCAGAAGAGGTGCGTGCCTGTGTGTGTCCCCCTCATCCCGGCCCCTCCTCCCCAGTGGACCTGCGCTCAGTGCGGCTGTGGGGTGGCCCTGTGCTTCCACTGTGGGCAGGATGGGGGCAGAACATTTCCAGTGGGAATCGTGTGGAGTCCCCAGGGTTCCCTAAAGCACCAGAGCCGCAGGGCAAGCCAGGCTGCCCCCTGCCCTTCGCCTCCTCTCTCCAGGTCCGAGCACCTCTGCAGGCTCAGGCTTCAGCCCTGCTCACCCACCAGGGCAGACAAGGCTTCTGGAAACCGTGGCCTTTGAGGTGCGGCCCTGCCCGGGTCTGTGTCTGCGCCTTGCCCTGTTTGGTATCAGGACCCACTTACTGCGTGACGTGGCCTGGTGTCCTCCTGGCCTCCAGACCAGTCACAGCTCTGAGCCTTCCGGGGCCACGACTTGGCATTGACCCAACAACAGAAGTTTGGCTTTTTAAAAATGAAATACAAGTCAAGCCAGTGAAGGAGGAATATTCTTACCACCTTGAGAATAACAGCGGTGGTAACAAACAAGGTGCTGGCACCCACGGGCTCAGGCTCCTGGGAGCTGTCAGGGCATAATTTGCATGCTAAATACAATATTTTTAGCACCAAAAGTTTGGAACACTTGACTTGCCCTGAACACTTAATTATGGACTTTGATCTTCTCCCTGAACCTGAACATAGTACTAAGCCCTGGGAGAGGCTTCTGTCCCCAGAACACCCGATTCCAGAAGATGAGCAGAGCAGGCTCCTAGTCTAGCTCAGGGGAGGGGGTCGATAACCCAGCCACCCCCTCCTGGGAAAGGCATTAGGCCCCCAAGGGGGCTAGAACCCTCAGGGACCTCTCAGCTCTGTTACCCACCTGGGAGTCAAGGCACATGCATGAGGGCACGTGCACACACACACGTGCGCACGCACATGTGCACACACACACGCACACACAGTCTATGAATGATCTTGACCCGGAACACGAGCTTAAAAACTCCTGTTATCATTAGAAATCTTAGGGGGTCACACAGAGTGGAAGAGATGACAAAAGGACGGAGCGAGAGAAAGAGAGGAGGGAGGGAGGAAGGAAAGAAGGAGAGAGGGGAGGGAGGGAGGGAGGGAGGGAAGGTAGCCTGAGAGCAGGCTGGGGAGAGCACTGACAGAAGAGGGGAAGAGGGCAGGCAGGGGTGGGAGGCGGGGCGGGGAAAGCTGCCCACAGCTGTCACGAAGCTTCAAGTCTTTGTGCCAGACAGCAGATTGACAGCTGGAGTGGGCAGGGGGAGGGCTGGGCTCCACCTCCTCCCCCCTCAGTGCTTCGGGGGCAAAGGGATGGCGGGGGACCCAGGAGCACAAGGTGGAAGGGGACGGCCCAGGCTCTGGCTGTCTCCTTTGCCCTGATCAGCGAGGGCAGAAGGGAGCCCCAGGCTGGGCATAGGAGCCCTCTGATTTTCTCTTTCCTGGCCATTCCCCTGTGCTTCTGCCTCCATGCCAGTCTTTGTCTGTAGAATGCCTTTTAATCAAAGGATCATTGATCTGCCTTTATGGAACACGGAGTCTGCATGCCGGGCGCCCTCCCCCAGAGTGCAGCCAGGAAGCACCACTTAATGCAGGAGCCTTCCTGGTCAGGCACGGTGGGGCGCAGTGCAGCCATCCTCTCAGATGTCTGCTTGTGGCCGTGAGTCTCCAAAGCTTCAGTCCCTTATTCATCCCCTGCTGGGCTCTGGAGGAGGTCCAGGTGGCCACGGGCTCAGGAGATGTCCCAGGAATTGAAAAGGTGGTAGTGCAGGATAAACTGCATCCATTCATCCATCCATCCACCCAGCATGGTCTTACTCGGTGAATATTCACTGAGCAATTGTTTATGGTACTCCAGACCCTGAGCGAAGTGCTAGGAATGAGCAGTGAAGAAGGGGGTTACCATCCCTGCTTTTGCAGAGTTCACAATCCAGTGGACGTCGGGTGTTAGCCCAACAATCACACAACGGTGGTGAAAGCTCTGGGGAGGGTCCTGGCTGGGTGCGGCGACCACTGTCACAGGCGTGTAATGCCCAGCCCCGTGACACTCTTTACCTAGATGACGAGGGCGACTCGGGAGGTAGCAGCCCCAGGGTGCCTTGACCCCGGAGCAAATAGGTAGGGAGCTGGGGAGGGCAGGAAGTCTGATGGCAGAGAACTTCCTCGATGGTGGGGCGGAGGCCCCTGGAAGCGACTGCACGTTCTGCTCCGGGTGGGCTCAGAACAGGGCAGTCAGCTGCCTGCACCCAGGGGCTTTGAGGACTAGTGTGCTTTGGGGGTCTTGCCGGGGGGCCCACCTACCTGGGTTGCCTTTCCACACCACCCCTGTCCTGCGGATGTGTGGCCCCGCCTGTGCCCCCCTGCCTCTCCACCCTCCTGGGCCCCAGGACTCAGGCTGTGTCCGTGGCTTTAGCAGACACCTCTGCCTCACATGCTGTCCTCCCTCCTTGCGACCCCCGGTGCTCAGTCCATATGACCCCCAATTACAGAGGAGAGACCTTTCAAATAGGGAGGGTGGTTGTCAGGGGTCAAGGCTGGCCTTTGAGCCCAGGCCTTTCAACTCTGCATCTGATGTTATTCATCCAGCCCCTTCCCTGACCAGCCCTGAGTGAAGCTAGGAGAAGGCACTGTAGTCAGGAAAAAAATTTTTTTAAACAGGAGAGAGAAAAAGAAAACCATGTGGGACCAGACTTTTAGGGTGTGGCCCGTAGGGTGACTGTGAGTAGAACAATGACCATTTGCGCAGCTGGACCACATGAGTATGTGCTGGGGGTGGGCGTGCAGGTTAGGAGGAGCGGGTTTTGGTGGGTTTTCAGTAGCAGTAGGCAGGAGTCTGGGCATCCACGTGACTGAAGGTCCCCTCCTGCCAACCAGGCATCCCTCCCTTGCCTCTGGTTCTGGGGGTTCAAGGGAAGTAGGAAGCTGGCGGGGAGAGAGTAGACCCTCTTTGCAGAGGGAGACGACGCTGGCTTAGTGGATCTCTGGGGGGCAGGGAGAAGGGGGCACTTGGTAGGATCAGATTCCCACTCCCTCTCCCATCCCAGCTCTGCTACTTGGCAAACAAAGCAAGGTGAACGCTGCTGGGCACAGCCCCCGGCCGGCAGGGCGTCCGGAAAAGACTTTTACATGGTTGGAGGCATGCAGGTCCGAGTCCACAGAAGATGCTGCATGACCACCTCACTCGATGGTGCTTTCTGCCATCTTCACCCAGCTCTGTCTGGAGATGTGTGTGTGAGGCTGGAGAGAGGAAGGCAGATCCCACACCCCCAAACCCCCGAATCCTCAGGGTCAGATGCTAGGAGTCAGATGCTGAGGAAGAAGCCGGGAGCTGGGGGGAGGGAGGTGGTACCAGCTGGGACATGGGAGAGGCAGGGGGTTTCTTTCGTAGGGTTTTCCTGACCAGGTGCAACTGCAAACACTGTCCTATTGGCCCCATGAGTGTAGTCTAAGGAAGCCGGGCTCCGAGCTGCATCCAGGACACGGAAAGGATGGCGTGGGCAGGAGAGAAAGGAAATTCCCTGGAGGAGACAAGTTTTGTGGTCTAGTTCTTCCCACAGCAGGTGCTGCTGTGGGTTACAGAGCCAAAAAGCCCAAAGCAGGGACACCCCTGCCCCGGCCGATCTCAGTCTCGTCCAAATCGCCTCCACTGCCCCATCCCCCATCCTCTTCATCTTCGGAGCAGGTTGAGCCCTCATGCTATGCCTCTGCCCACTGGAACGTCAGCCCCGGACCCTTCCCTCTCCTGGTAGATGCAGGCATGGCTGTCTTACTTTGCTGACATGGAAGCGCTTGTATGTCTCCTGGGGCCTCGCAGCTGTGTGTCGGGGGCATGGCCCACTGGCGAGGCTTGCCCTGCCCTCCAGCTGGCCTGATACTACTTTAGGTGTGTTGCAAGAGGTCCCAGGGTCACAGCCCACCCCCAAAGTACTGAAGGAGAGCCACCCCTTCTTCCTCTGGATGGGCTGGCAAAGAAAAATAGTCAGCTCTTCCAAGAGTATCCTTGACAAAAGACTGCAGAAGGCTGGGTTATTGGGGTCCTCCTCCAAGAGAAAAATTTCTCTGACTTGGGAGAGGCTGCAAGAAAATATTGCGTTGAGTGCTTACTAACAGATCTGCCCTCTGACCACAGGGCATCTGATTATTATCACAAGGCAGTTAGATAAGCAGGAGATAAGCTGTTAGATGATGCAACCAAGTCTAAGAAAGTTTCAGCAGCCTAAGGTCACACGCTGGTGTGATCCCCTGGAGGAGGGCATGGCAACCCACTCAGTAGTCTTGCCTGGGAAATCCCACGGACAGAGGAGCCTGGCGGGCTACAGTCCATAGGGTTGCAAAGACTCAGGTATGACTGAGTGACTAAACACACAAGGTCATATGCTAGCGGATGGCCCAGCTTCATGGTTTTTCCACTACCTAGCCCCCGACACCTTCCCTCCTCACCTCAGCCCTGCCTGGCAGCTACCGCCATCCCTTCAGTTATAGTAACAATCCTGCTGCCTGTATCTGACCCAGCAGGCATGGATGGAGTGCGAAGGGAGGACCAGGTATTAATAGAATGCGAAAATAAGCAGATGCAGTGATGGAGAGAAGGCAATGGCAACCCACTCCACTACTCTTGCCTGGAAAATCCCATGGACGGAGGAGCCTGATAGGCTGCAGTCCATGGGGTCGCACAGAGTTGGACGCGACTGAAGCGACTTAGCAGCAGCAGCAGTGATGGGCTCACACCCAGGCAGGACCCTCGCTGTAGGGAGTGTTGGGACAGAGTGACTCTCCGGCCAGGCA